TTTCTGACTTACCGTTTGGGAACGTGTCGTAGAATAAAGATAGTTGATGCAATTGGTAAGACAACGTGCAAAATTAATGTTCCGCCTATGACGGCTGCTTTCGTATCCCATAGTTGTTGCTTGTTTTTCAATTCGATGACAGTGATGAAAACTGTCAGTGAAAAACCAGCAAAAAATGCGATAATCCCCACAAGCACGACGATGATCTGCAGGGCAAACAAAGAAAAAAGTAAATATCCAGTCTATATTTTGTAAAATGTTTAAAATACGAGATTTTTCTTTCCTTCACGAGTCTCAAAGTGCGCGTGAGTGTGGATGGGTGAGAGTGAGGACGGAAATTTTCTAACGAGGAAACCTTTCCAGGTGATAAACTGCTTTTGAGACGTGACTTGTGACATGAGCTAGAGTCTACTAAGAGTAAACAAACCCTGTAATGATTCGTCCCATTGTTATTTTCTTTTTGAACTGCGACCATTTTAATGAGCTCTAGCTTAGTGCAACATATGTCACACAAAATCCTGTTACAGTTTCAACCTGAAATTTTGTCTGTAATGTAGAGACCTGCGTTAAACTCCGAAATTCGACTCTAACGAAGTAGGAGTCAGCTGAAAATAAATTTCCGGAATCTGATTCGGAGTCGAACTTCTAACCGCCCCCGATAACGTTCTTTCCGATTTACCAAGAAGATTCGTTAGAGATAGTTCTCAAAGCAATATTATCTTAAGCCGCATACACATTCCACAGCATTTCCAATATTTGTATAGTTTTCAGTCAACAGCTTGTCCTCATAAATTTCGAAAATCTTATTTGTTCCGAATGTATCCTTACAATTTCAAGTACATCAAGAAATGCTATTGGGACTTACTTAAAATCCCTAAACTTAGGAGCATATGGTTATCTACTGGAGTGTTGAGGTCATTGCCCCCAATTCACTCAAAATCTTCAATTTTCGGGGCGTACGGGCGTCCACTGCAGCAATGAAATCAATATCCTAATACATATGTTGTGAATCTTCATATCACGGGTATTGGTATCATGACATTGCTCAGTATTCTTGTGCAACTTTCAGTATTATGCTCAAAACTAAGTTTCTTTTCTAATAAACAAGCTCGAAATCTATTGAGAGAAATGTTTCCGAAGAATGTGTGGCGGAAGAGAAGCGAGTCAAGGAAAGGGGATTTTTAATGATAAATGTTATAAAATATAGTTTTTCAATATGTGTGCGCTTTAAAGTGATCTAGATTACGAAGTGGCGCTACCCGGTAGAAAGCCAAGACATCTTTCTTAGAAACTGCATCGAACAGAATGTTATGATTCCCCATAGGCTCTAGAATAAACTTTTGTTACTCTCCGCTTCTCTTGAGTTCTAGGTCGTTGCTGATTTTGTGAATCCTATATTCATGGATTTTATACAATACTTACATGCAGTAAATATTTCGAGACGTTATCTTTTAGCCGTATTAATGTTCGTCCGTCAGCAACTGAGTCTGATCTGAGTTGATTTGTTTGATTCATGAAATCTTTGAACGATACGGAGCGCTGGTTGCACAAATGCTTGCTTTCGACACAGCAATCTTTTTGCGAATGCTGCTACACTGCTAGTGCTTTTTTTTATACGTAAAATAGTTGGAAAAATCCGACTGACATCACTATTTAGAAATAGGAGAAACATGATCTTCTGACGGCATGAATGATAAGAGAGACGTATAGATTAATTCGTAAAGCAACTAACTATGCCCTTTTCTTTTTTCTTCTTTCTTTACGCTTTAAATTTCTCCACTAATAAAGATATGTTAATTTTTATTATTAAACGAATTGTTAGTAACTATCTGTCAAAAGGTTATGATTTTTTTCCAAAAGTAAAGACAAAACATATATGATGGGTGATTTTCAACAGTCGAACTTGAAATTTTAACTTTCACTAAAAGTATCCCAGTGGAAATTAAAGTTTTAAATTCAACCAGAGAGATTTTGAAATTAGTTCTTCACTATTACAAGAATTTAAAAATTCTACAAAGTGACCATTCTTATAGTAATAATAGTTTAATTTGTACTACGGTAAGAATTCCAAACTGATTAGCTTAAGGGGGCCTCCGTCGGAAAAAAATCTTTTTTGTCTTACATCCCATTTTGATGCCACTTTCAGCAAATGTTTAATAAGTGTGGTGGACCAAAACTAAAAAACAATTTACGAAGTTTCGACGCAACCTCAACAGCTGATTTATTTTTCAGCGGATAAGCAAATGTAAATTTCGAAAAATGATCGATACAATGAAGAATCCAAGAATAAACTATATCACTACTTACAAAATCGGGTCTTGTACGCATATCTATTAAGTCAATTTGCAATCTTGTCATTACACCCAAAGATATGGTTGGTTTCGATACAACTGGATGTTTCAATGGTTTTCGTACTTGACATGCAATACACGTTTTGAGATAAATTTCAACAACAATCTTTGGTACCCATGAATAATGTGAATTTACTTCTACCAAAGTTTTATCTCTTCCTCCATGGGAGACAGCTTCATGACATTCTTTTATGATATTAAACAATAACTCATAAACACAAATCGGTTTTTTACTTTTTGTACAATAGACAACATCAATACCAGCAAGTTTCACAATAGAAAATTTTTGCCTGCACCAAAATCTAAATTTAACAGATGAAGAATCTCCAGTCTTACCTTTTGGAAGTAACAAAACTTTCAAAATGTCATCACACGTTTGTTTTTTTATGAAAGTTTTATCTCGATATTTCTATTGTAACGAATTAACATATTTTTCAACTTCATCATAAAATTTTTTTTCATATGTATCTGACGGTAAAGTAGAAGTACAAGCAGAAGAAAGACTTGTAGGTGAAATGGAAGAAGATGGTTGTGTAGTAGACGAAGAAGACGCCATAATTAATTTGAAGTGTTTCGACAAATTGGCAAAAGTAGAGACTATATATACTATCATTAATTTGGACGTACACACGCACAACTGTCGAGCAGAGTATGATGCAATGTGAATAAGGTATATAGTACACCCAGAATAAAAGAATAACAGAAGAAAATTAATGGTATTTTCAGTCGTAAACTAATCACACTAGTCTTCAAAGTCTCTTTACACTGTTCGCTTCATTCTTTCCTCAAAAATAATGATTGATGAATGACTGAAGGCGGATTAAATCTCAGATTTGACTGATCTACAACGTAAATCCAAATGTAAGACGTAAAGCGACAGATAATTATTTAGAAACAGCTAATAAAAAAAGAAAACTATATGATGAACACCTATCTAGATTAGCTGAACAATATAAGAAAAGAGATTGTGTCGGTGTTAAAATTCATGATGTTGATAGAACGAATACTGATCCAAAAATCTTACCTTGTTTAATTCTTTCAAAAGAAAAAAAAAGGTGAAGATATTTTGTTTATTTAGCATGTCAATTTGGTTTATTATCAACTAGGTTCACCATTGAAAGTCTTGTTGATATAAGAACAGCTTATCCTGATGATTTAAAAAATTTAGATGTTTTTGAACTTAAAGATGAGATAACTTTGATAGAAGCATCAAAATTGTTTGTTCGTGGAGCGGTAAGTGGAGCAACGTGTGATTGTAAAACGAAATGTGCGACAAAGCACTGTCTATGTAAAAAAGCAGGAGTCGCATGTTCAACAAAATGTCATTCAAAAAGAACTGCATGTGAGAATACAAAATAATATCCAAAAATGTGAATCTTCTCATCTTTCTTTTTCTCTTCTTGCCATATAGTCCAGAATTTACTTTTATCCTTTTTATTCTTTTTCTACTCGCTGTTAGTATTGTTTATTGTTCTATAATGAGAAACTAAGAAAAAATGTAAATAGCTGATTGTCTTTCTAGGAACTTGTTTCTTTTGACAAAGTTTAGAGTGAAGTATTGAAACCACTTTTTTTAGGACAGAACTCATCAAATACTGTACATAGCTTTATTTTCATTTTGCTCTTATTCTTTGTTTGTTCCATTTAAGGTTGATCAATGTTTTGGACATATTAACTAATGAAGAAAGATGGGAAACAAAAACCAAAATCCCCCAAAAAACAGTACTACTTAGATATCATGCCACCTTCACACGGTTAAGTAGATAAGTATCGGCGATAAGCTACAGAATATAGAAAAAAATCATCCTACGAAATACATCTGTCGTTTATAGCCGAGAAACTAAGAGCGTGATAATACTATAGTTAAATTCGATTTTAATTGATATACCACTTTTTGACTAGTTATATCTCAGATTTGACTGATCTCAGTTTTGGCTAGGCAAAAGTGGAATCTTAGTTTTGGCTGAAGAATTGTTAGCCAAGTAAGGCAAATCTAAGATTTGACTGAATTCCACTTTTGGCTACAACATAAATACTTCAGGCAGTATTATTAATGTATGCATAATTTTTCTCTTACACTGTTCGTACATAGAAGCATAAATTCTGAGGCTATAAATTTTCGGCCTGCACCAGGCTAAGGCAGACCAGGTCTAAACTGAAATAGATTCAGTCAGACCTTTGAAAACACCAGGCGGCCTAGCCTGGTTATTAATGAACGCCCTGCATGACTAAATCCTGACACGATTGAGGATATCTTGTTAGTTAGGTCAGTTCAGAAAATACTTGGACAAAAACCAAATTTTTTTACTCAGATATATTGTTTAATTATCCGTCACTTTTCTTTTCATCTTATGTTACTATTATTTGTACATTTTTTTAATTAAAAAAATGATCAGGCTTCTGCAGACCAGGCCAGGGTAGGCCGAGAACAATGGGAGACAGACAGGCAAGGCCCAGGAAATATATCGACAGGCCCAGGCAGATCTAAACATTACGGGCCTGACGCAGGCAGATCAGGCCTCAAAAGTGTCGGCCTGTTTCAAGCCCTGGTGCCTATTATTTTATATGAAAATATTTATAAAACAACACTAGAAAAAAACTAGAAATATAACCAATTTCTATATACTGTTCTTTGATCTAGCGAACCATTTATAATGATTCATGGTATGAGGTATAAATTGGATTGATTGGTACATCACGTGTGGCCTGAATAGTCTTCTTATTCATGGTGTTATTGATTGATTTTCCTGTACGTTCAGAATCAAACGGTAGTATGTATCTAAAACTACCAGAAGGTGAGTAACCAGTACGATGTGTTGGACGATAAAATGTTGAACTCGAACTCGAATCAGATAATGAAGTTTTACGCCAACGATTTGTATTGCCCATAGTTACATAAGGTGGACCACGTCCCTTACGATAGCTTCGTATATCATTGCGAACAATTACTTTACCATATTTTCGTTCCTGTCTATAAAAAAAAGTCATACCACTCAAAGAATAATATAATAAAACCAGAAGCGTAAAGGAAATATTGCCATATAAAGAAAAAGCGTAAAAATATAACTATAAGAAGATTTTGATTAGAAAAGAAGAGTACTATAATTAAGAGTCTTTTTTTGCTAATATTACATCTGATAATAACTCATTTATCGATAAACTTCTGTGTCTATCTTCACCATTAGACGGGAGAGGGTACTACTTGTTGTTCTTGCGACAGAATGTATGGATTGTAGTTGTATGTTGTCAAATGATCAAAACCGTTCCAATCACTCTTACACATGTCTACGGTATTTGATGATAATCGTTGAACATGCAACGGTGGTAGTGATGGTTTATTTACAGTTCTGTCTATCTTAGAAGACGACTGCTGAAGTTGCTGGTGTTGTTTTTCCTCTGATAGTTCAATCAAATTCTTGTGCTGAAAATGGGGATAATAATGTTCGGATATATAGGATTCATCGTATGTTTTCATCGGTGATAGTGAAGTTAAACGAGAAGTAGCAACGTCTGTTTCATTGAATAGTGCAGATGATGAAGATGATAATGGCATGAGTAAGGCACTGTTATCTGGACCGAAGATATAAATAATCGATTTAGGCTTACACTGTGGGTTTGGTGACCTTAAGATTAAAAAGTAATAAGCAAATCAAAGCATTTTATGTTAATGCATTATCATTAAAATAAAATAAAACCGTATGTGTTAGATTTTCTCGTTAAAAGAGGCAAGCAGTTAATAGTTTAATGGTATTATTCAAGTATCAATTAAGATGTTCCACTTACCGTCTTTTGAAAGACAGATAACAGAGCAGACATAATAAAATTGATAACATTAGACCTCCAAGTACTATAGCTAATATTATCCACCATTCCCACTAAAAAAAATAAATAAATTGATTAGATTGACCTTCATTATCATTCGTTTATCATCGAACTATTCTTACCCCATAAAATGGTGACAAACTTGTTCCTGTTCCTGATATTTGATTACTGTCTTTATTTATATATCGACTGTAAACTAACGTTGGCAACATCGATTGATTAAATACTTGTGTATACAGACGTTCAGATGGTTGCATATAATCACCAATATCTGACTGAGTGGAATCCCTCAAACCAATTGTATAATCGACTTTTGTTTGACCATTACTAAAACATACAGAGGAATATATTTGATTTAAGGAAAGAAAGGAGTTAGAAAATATAATCTTACCCGACTAATGTATTACTGATATTATTTATAATCAAATCGTTGGCTGTGAATAAATTTCCATTTGCTATTGACCAACTTGTTCTTATTGCTTGATTCATCGTTTGTAATGTTATTGCACTAGTTAGATTTATTCTACTGCCATCAATGTAAATTGTATATTGTTTAAATGGAATGCCCGTGTATCGCGTTGGTAAAGTACTTGTAGATGGTTGTGAAGCTGTTAAAGGTGTCACATCTGAACCATTGATATTAATCGTATATATGAGACGAGTAAGCGGTTGACTAAAAAAGAGAAATAAAAGCCTTTTGTAGTTAGAACAACCGTAATCTGATTTTACTCACTTTGAATTTGTCAAATATGTTTGATCAATTGAAAAGTCAGGTGATACAACGATGAATGAATTATCTAAATATTAAAATACCACTAAATTCTCATTGCTACAGACTTAACAAGAAAAGCAGTATTTAAGCTTCTGAAGCGAGAGAGTCTTATACACTATGATTTTTCAAATACACTTTTGGTTATTGTTAGTTCCACAACGAAAAGAGAGAGAGAGTTCGGATTTTCTCTATTTTAAAATCAAGATCTTGACACATCTTTTAATGAATGGATAGTAAATTCCATGGTTCTGGTGTAGCATTGGATTTTCTAGGAGTCGCACGTATGAGGAATCTCTTGACTTTCAGAAACTTCAAAAATGAAAGATGATCAGACACTGGAATACAGGTGATCGAACACGTTGAGTTTCTTTGCAAAGTTTGTTTCTTGAAAAAGGTGTAGGAAAATCTTGACTTCAAAGTGGCGAAAACTCGAACTTCATCGCTTTTCGTTGTCGAACTGTTCAATAAACAATATCCGACTGATATAATAGTAGTCCTACAAACTTACTGTTTGTTTGACGCCACGCATTTTGTAGTGCAGTCCGAATTATATCGTTTGAAGGACGAGGTTCTGTGGAATAAATCCAATGAGCACGATACGGATAACATCGACTAGTCTGAAAGAAAGAGAAAAAAAGTTAAATAACCAGCGATACAATATTAGTTTTATCTATACATTGACAAATTGTCCATAGAGTTGTTCAAAAGCCGTATTAGAAGGCGGTTGTAGTGTATCGATATTGACAACTGATGATAATGTTTTAATAACATAATTTACACGTATAGATCTTCGCCTGAAACATAATTAAAAATGTTATATAATAATTTTAAACAAAAAGTTTTCTTACCCTCCTTGACAAATATATTGTTCTTGATTTTGTAATTGAACATACAGTACACCTGGAAATATTCCAGTAACTCCTATAAAAATTGAGAAATGTAACAAGATATATTTGTGTAAAATTTAAAATTTTATACCAATATTTTGATTTGTCCATAGTTGAGCAAGTCCATCGGCTAATGCAGCTGGCTGAGAGACAAAACCATTTCGTTCAAGAAAGATACTGTAATATGCATTACCACCAATTGCACTAACACCCGGATAATAGAGAGAAAAATCACACCGTGTTAATAATTGCGTTCCATTTACAAACTAAAATAATTAAATAAAAAAATAATATTATTATTAAAAATACGAGAATTTCATTTATTGTCTTACCACAACATAAAATCGTGTTTGATTATTATCAATATTTTCAGCATAAACAATTTTCGCAATACCATATTCTAAAGCAAATTTTATAACTACTCAATAATATATTTAATTTAGAAATAAAAAACCCTACGAGTATTGTATGATGTCAAATAGTTTTCTATTTGTTGACGTTGTGCAACTGTCAATGGTAAAGTTATATTTGCAATGTACTGATGAGCATCTGCACGAGCAATTGATTGACCATTAAATAAATTATATTTGATTGGTTGCATTGCCATGAATAATGGCTAAAAGTAAAGAAAGTCAAAAATAAAATTGATATCGACATGTTGAAAAGTTTTCGCAGTTTTTATTTTGACTAATATAATTTAAGTTAGTACTAACTTGCAATTGTGTTTGTAATATATTTTGTGGAATAGTTTGATCAGACACAGTATAATATACACGTGTAATGAGACTCATATCCAAACCAAAACGAGATTCAACAAATATGTTTGATGCTATAAGAAAGAGATGATCTTGTAACATATATTTATATTCTATAGTTATTCACACTCTTTTAAATCCATTAAAAGTTTGAGTTGTGTGTGTATTAATTACCCGTATTAATAATTCCTAATCGTTGTAATGCCATATTTATTAATCCAATAAAGTTATCGTTTTCCAAGTCTAACTGATAATAATTTCCATATAAATCAATAAATGACGTTGAATAGGTCACTGGCACTTGACTAACATAAGTATTTGGACTACCACATAAACCGTTCAATGGTTGTAATAGTGCTGGATTGAAACAAGCTGATGGTACTGTAGTACCACCTTGTGATACAATATATGTTATTGTCGTATAATATTGTCTAATGATAAAAGAGTAGATTTTATATTGAGATTCAATTATGAAATGATGTCTTGTATTTATATATTTACCCTTGTGATGAAATCATTTGATCTAATCGTAGAATATTAACTGTTGAAATATTCAAACCTATATGATTAAAATATGTATATATTTTTATTATTTTAGAATATTCTATCATGTTTTACCTTGTCTTAATGGATTTTGCCAATAATCAGTTAATGCTGTATAAGCTAATGATTGTCCAACTTTTCCGGTAAATGTAATTTGTTGTATATCACGTTGTTTGACGACATTTAAGGGTATTTGATTTGAAACATAAGTTAATGGTGCCTGAATACTAAATACACCATTAAATTGATTTTCACTGATGACTAATGGTGAAACAAGTCGGCTATCAAATTCTTGATCATTGTAAAATGCAAAACTATATACACGATTTATGATGGCATTAGAACTAAAGTAAAACACTAGATAGTTATCAATGAAACTTTTCTAAACGTAATAAAATATACCTGATATTTAAGTATGGATCTTCGAGAAGAATTTGAACGTTATTAGTTGTTAAAGAAGCTAAAAAAGAAACATACAATTAACGATCGTATGTAGGTAGAAAGGTATTAAATTAAAGTAAACTTATTCTGAAAAATTCTTACTAAATTGTGTCACAGAAAAACTCTTACATTTCAAATTGTACAATGACAAAATTAATCCTTGTAAATAAGTTCGATCACTTGGAGTTAATTTATTTGAATAAAAATATGAAAATGCTTTAGCTAAACGATATACACGCGTAGTTACACGGTTTAATTGAATAGACCGAAATATATTAGTCCAAATAGCATTCATTAATAGTGGAGCATCTACCCAATTTCCATTTTGTTGAACATAAATTAGCGGTAAACGATAAATCTGTCTAAAATGATAAATTAGATCGTGTGCAAATTTCTCTTCCAAGTATTCGATTCCTTGACTAAAAATACATGTGCGATGGATATTGATAGAGGACATTTTATCATCAATATTAGTTGACGCGGTACCAAATTTAAAAGAAAACGATTCAAGAGGTTTTCAGTGCTCACGATAAGAACATTTCAAATCAAAGAGAAAATAGTAGCTAGCTTTATATTCTGCGGTCCGCATACTATGTTTTCTTCGTTAAAAAGTGCACAACTTTCCAAAGTCAAGGTAAGTTTTTAACATCTATGGCTTGTTCGTTCGTTAATGCGACGGACTAGTGATATTATCTACCAATATAATCAATGATATCAATCGATCAGAGGTCTCACATTTTGTTATTTTTGAATTATTCATACTCGATCATCTCTTCTCTTAGGGTTTCAGAAGTCTTAGACATTTCTATTGCTGGCGGATAGATACAGATAATGTAATCCTAGAATAACTCTAGTTTCAAATATTAGTCTTACCCATTACTATCAACAGCTTCTTCAATATCCAAAATAGCCACATTTGTATTCGAGATACCAGCTTGTTGTATTGCTGTATTTAGTTGTCGTTGTAATCTGAAATGATAATTTTATTTATTAATCTACATTTATGATAATAATATTAATGTGATTAGTTGTTAATTGCATTTGGTGTAAGTAGTTAATGTACACTAATATATTTGGTTAATATGAATTATTTTTAAATGATTAAATAATTACAATCATTTTGATTCAATAATTTTCTATATCTCTTATTGAAATACTCGAAAAAGTCAATATTAGTTGTTTTTATTAAAATCTATTAGATGGTGAACAAATGATTTTTCTAAAATATCTTTCTCAATTTATTTCAGAAAAAGTTCATAATTTATGAATAATAAACAATGAAAGCGTGCACTTTTATAATGCTTACATAATTGGAGTTGGACACGGTGCATCATAATCACTAATACTGATTTGTATTGGTAAAATAACAGTTTGATTTGGGCATAAAAGCACACTATTGTATTGTGCAATATACGCTTCTAATGTTGACCTGCTAAACAACGCTATATTTTGCGTATAGTTCCATGTTGAACCATTAACAGTTAATAAATAATAAACAATATTTGCTGGTTGTCTAGAAAATAATAGCATTTTCGATTACAAATCTGTGAAGAATTCGAGAAGTCCAATCATACCCCGAGGACGTAACTCCTTCTCTAATTCCTTCCAGTATTACATTCACTGACGGTTGTCCTACACATTAGCATATTCGAAAAGATAAGAATCGAGAGGAATGAGATGATTGTATGTTTTACACTTACCAATTGCTGCTGCGATTCCATCTCTGATAACTGTTGTCCACAACGGTATTTCTGCCAATGGTAAACATATTCTCAGTGGTAAGAGTAAATTGGTAGATATATATGATATACATAAACGATAGATCCGTAACGAAACGGTATTGATTGTGCTCAAAAGATCAACTGACGGTGGCAATGGTTCAATATTCGATCCCAGCACAGTTGAACCGCTTGTTACTACGAAATAAATTCTTGTCGTAATTTCTCTAAAAATAGTAAAATAATGTTAAAAGTGTTCAAGACGAAGCGACAAAGTTGGCTTAACGAAACAAACGAAAATTTTTTCGCTAATAAAACAATGGAATGAGTTTACATTTATCGTGGATATAGTTTTCAACATAGATCCTTAAACTGTCAACAAAATTGATATTTGACATTTTTCACTGTACTTTTTTTTTGAATGAAATTTTCTCAAAATTCTGAGAGAAAAAAAAGTCTATTTTATTCCATTTTTATATAATAAATCGAAAAATATCTGGAATTTCAGCCTGAGCGAATAACTTTCATAGAGGGCGCCATGAGAACGGAGAATACTACCTAGAAACGCTTTTCACGGCCTGAGCCGATAGGATGTCCGTTTTATTTTTGAGAATAAAAGTGAACAAGTTCTGGTGAAAACTCCAGATATTTGTAACTATTTTTTAAGATTTTGTATAAGATGAGAATTAATGGGATTGGCCTGGCCTTAATTATTTGGATGATTTCTGTAGTTGTTTTCATGATATCTTCTCACCCTGTTGCCGTCACATAGTTTTGTACACTTAGCGGTATTGCTGTCCATTGCTCTATAATATAAATATATACATAATTGTGTATTTGTAATAATCCAGTGCGTATAGTACATACGAGGGCTGTATATCGAAGATCGTCTCGCTGTATAATATTGACTAATTCCTTGCATTATATTTATAACATTTGTGTTATTAATTGAACCAAAATAATCACATATATCGATTGTATAAGGAGAGACCGGAGATGATGGTCCACTAACTGTTCCGCATAGTTCTGCATAATTCGCTAATGTAGGTTGCTGAATAGACACTGTCGATGGTACATTAGGGAAGATTGTATAATTGAAACGATAAATAATCACCTGGGTTCTACAGTAGAAAAACAGCACATCTAATAAGAAGAAAAATAAGATTATGACATACATACTGATTACTAAAACCACTTTGTTGTGACGTTAAATCAATTACACGTGTTAAATTATTTAAGAATATTCGATTTGCAGCTAATTTACAAACAGTCACATAGGTTTCAGAAGCCGAAGTAGCAACTAGTCGAACGGCAGGTGCTTGAGAAAATGTAACCCGAAGAGATTGACCGGCTAAAGTTAAGTACAGTTTCGAATGAATAGTTAGAACGTTTTGAATGTGAATTACTTCTTGAATCTATATTGAATTGAGCTAATAGTGTTGGATCAATATCAATTCGAGTATTATTATCTGATAACAACCATTGCCAACGGTTTAATGTGGAATCAAATAGCCCACTTGTCCAAAAATCTAGTGTATTAATAATGGTTAATATATTGCAAGATTAAGACAGATTTTCTACCTCTCGCTAGTCCACGTGCAAATATAGCAGGTACGAGTTGTTGAGTTAATTCCCCAGCTGACTGAAACCAAACTAATTGTGAGTTTTGCGCACCACATTCTTGAAGCGCTTCTGCTTGTCGTATTAGTGATGCTTGTGGATTGATACGATAACAGTAGGGATAAAATATCGTTGGTTGAACAAGATTGTAGGGAGAAGTGCATACTAGGAAAATAATACATGTTCTAAAATATCCAAGCTAACATTTAACGACTCATACCAAGCAGTGTATTGACAGTATTCCAAACTTGATCAATACAATCAACGATTGAAGCCCACGATGAACCTCCTGGACGAGTCAGTGGAACTGAAAGTTGACCGGTATATGTGCGATTCATTGGACTAACTGGTGTTTGGCACAACGTGCCAGTAAAAGATGAAGGACAGGCACAGAAACATTGACAGATTGTTGAATTTATTATGGATGTTGCTTGATTTTGACATAAAACTATTGAACAAATATCGATTGGAGTTTCACAGCGTCGACCTTGATAAAAAAATAGAATGTATTACATTGAGAATAAATTTGTGTGTATTCATCTCATACCCGTGTATCCGCAGAGACACTGGCATTGAAGAACGTTTCCTGCTATTGAACACGTTGCTCCATTTACACATGAACCAGGAACACATAATGGTTGACCACAATCAATTCCTTTTCAAAAATAATAGTTAAAATAACCATTCCATAATTTAATTATGATCGTTTTACTTACCAGTGAATTGGGGCAAACAGGTACATTGAAAAAGTCCGTTTCCGAGGTTTATACATGTTCCAGCATTCAAACACGGACTACTTCCACACACGTCGATGGGCACTTCGCATGTGGCACCTATGCAGGACAGAAAAAGTGGAGTTAAATAATAAAACACGTGCTGTCATACAACACCTCCAAATCCTGGATTACAAACACACTGAAATGTATTAACACCACTAACTCGGCATGTACCATAAACACAAGGGTTAGAATAGCACATTGACACCTGTTCACAACTATAACCCATACAGAGTACGATAAATCAACTCGTTTCAGATTTCAAACAAGCTACGTTACTTCGTTCCATATCGTCCAGGGGGACACACACATCGTTGTCCTGACTGATCAGCGATGCACGTTGAATTTCCCACACAATTATTTATAGGACATGTAAAAATTTGCTGCTGACATATTAAACCCGTAAAAGAAGTTGGACAAATACACGTATAATTTGTTGCTGATACCGATATACAGGTTCCATTGTTTAAACACGGTCTCAAATCACACGGCATGACAACAATGTTACAATTATATCCTTAAAATAAGCAAGACAATATTCAGCGTCCTAAAAATGAGCGATACGATTATACCCGTAGTAGATGGTGGGCAAGTACAGAAATATGCACCATTGGGAAGATTAGTACATGTTCCTAGACGACACGGGTTATTAGAACAACCTTGTTGAGCATTTTCACATTGAATTCCTATACAAAACAACAGAGAGAATTCAGTATTTATTTTGCTAATTAAGAGATATCACTGATAATCATTTTGAAAGTCTTCTTAAGTATAAGACTTACATTTGCAATATCAAAGAAAATAATGTTCATCTTCATTACGTCTTATATATCTTTCAAGAGTACAAATCTAAGGAATTGTCAGTTTCGGGACTTTTCTTTTTGCTTCAAAATTTACTGAAAATTTGATCATCTCGTCATTCCTGCCATATACTATTGATTGCGTGGATAATATGAAATATTTAGCAAGTATTTCGTTATTTCGAGCTACCTACTTTGCACATATAATCAATAGACTGTAAACTTGCTAGTATCTACACGCTAGATACTCCTCATTTTATTAGTATCAAATATTTGTTTTTATGATATTTACAACTATTTCTCTTATTAGAAAACGATTATAGGATACATTTATGAAAATGTTTGAAAATCAGTAAACACAAGGGAGTACATATATCAACAAGGTGCCACACTCCAATTACTGTCTGCTAGGATTCTTTTAGTCGCCACTGTAAGAAAATGTAGGAATCTCAAAGTGGACTGAAGCACAATTGTAGCTAGGTATGCACCGGTATCGGTATTCATACCGAAATACCGATACCGACAATACCGAACTTCAGTATATACCGATACCGAAAATACCGACTATTTTCACTTAGAACTTTTTGGATTTTTTTATTTGAAATGAGATGTTTTAGCGTCCTGGACACTCAGAATGAATCAGGGACGGAAAGCAAGAGCTTTGTTTGCTTTCTAAAGCCAAAGTTTTTCTTTTCTTTCTATCTGAACATGCTCAAAATACACAGCTGAGTGTTGTTTATACGTTCTGCTTGTCCAGGATGCTAAAATACCTCATTTCAA